CTCCCCTATTCACACTCTCTCTCTCTCTCTCTCTCTCAGAAATAAAACATTAAAAAACAATTTTTTAATAAAAAGTTAAAAATTTTTAAAAAGGGAAATGCAAACTGTACTATAAGCCTGGTTTTGTCACTTAATATAGCAGAAACTTATTTCAATTTAAATGTATAGGTCATTTTTAATATCTGTAGTTAATTCAGTAATATAGTCAGTCTTAATATATGTATAAATTGTGTCTGTTTTTTCATATAAATAATACTATACTGAAGATCCTTGTATATGCTTGGAATACATCCTCATAGTACAAACTTGGCTGATTATTTTCTTAGGATAAATCTCGAAAGTGTACACTCTGAGTCAAGGGATATGCATACTTGCAATTTTGTTACACATTATAAATTTGCCCCCTAAAAAGATGGTTTCTCTTTACTTTCTGCCTCTGTGTACATGTGTGTACCTAAATGGTTCTTTCTCTACTCTTTCAAAAACCTTGAACTAAATTATTGAAGATCTTTTCATCTATGGTAGACTGATAGGGGAAAATGATATCTTTTTAAATGTGTATACGTTCATATTAAAGTTAAACATTTTTTTTTGAAATGATGATTTTTAATTTTTATTTATTTTTCTTAAACTCTATTCCTAACATGGGGCTCCAACTCACACCCCCAAGATCAAGAGTCACACAACCCCAGGATCAGGATGCTCTACCACCTGAGCCAGCCACATGCCCCAAGTTAAACATGTTTACACATTGATTTATATTTCTTCTTTTAAGAGTTACTTCTTTGTAGCCTTTGTTTCTCAATGGAAAGATTATTTCTATGGAGTCTTACATGTGTACATTGATTGCCTCAGTAGATAGGGAATTTTGAAGATTCAAGAAAGGAAGATTGATGAAGAATGATTGTGAATAAAAGTTAGGAGGACATGATGGAGTGGAAACAAGTTGTTTTTTATTAATTGAGAAACATGGAGGCTATTTTGAGGACTTTTTTTTTTTTAAGTTTTGAGTATTCTGCTGAATCCGGCCTAGAAAAACTCATGTAAACATTAAGATGTAAATGATTCTCTTCTTCCAGAATTAAGAAAATGTCTACATTTAATGTAGTCTGCTAATAATGGCTTGTTTTCTTTAGTTGCAAGAATAAGTAGATGATATTTCTTTTGCATCCTAATAGGAATGTACCTATGTTTATGGGAGACCCCTGAGACTATACACTCTTGCATATAATTTTAATAATCTTCATGTTATCCTTGTGAAATAGGACTTTGTTAGAAAATCTTTTACTTGCAAATAAGAAAATGAAATCAGAAAGAATTGATTTTTTTTTGCCCTTTTTCATCTTTGATATCTGATGAAATCCGCTGAAGTACGTTAACACAGAAAGGTTTTTTTTTTTAAATGTTTTATTTATTTCTGAGAGAGAGACACCGTGAGCAAGGGAGGGTCAGAGAGAGAGGGAGACACAGAATTGGAAACAGCCTCCAGGCTCTGAGCTGGCAGTCAGCACAGAGCCCAGCGCGGGGCTCGAACCCACTAACCGTGAGATCATGACCTGAGCCGAAGTCGGACGCTTAACCGACTGAGCCACCCAGGCGCCTCAAGGGTGTTTCTGATTAAGGTAAATTGGGTAAGGGTAGCAGCTTGTCCGTTGACACATTCCTCCCTGGCCTCTAAAATAAGATACTTATTTCTGTGTCTAAAGTAGGGTGTATAGGACTTCTCTGCATATTGTTGTTTCCTTTCTTATCACTAATGAACTTACATTGGAATTTGTAACTTCAGCTTTTTACCATCCAGTTCTGTGTTTGGCAGTTGTGACCACTAACAGTTTACAGATGCATATTTTCTAAAGCATTTGGTTTATATTGTGTCCCACAAAGTCTCAGAGTCCTTATTTCATATGTGAGGGAATAAGAAAGGAAGTGAGGAGACAGAATTCTGTCTCCTTTATGTTAAGCTTTCAATGAGATTTTATTTAAAAGATACTATTCTGCTGCATTAAAATTTTTTGAAAATCATTCATCTGAAAGAACATAGGCCTGGGTGGCTCAGTCAGTTGAGGGACCACCGACTTCAGCTCAGGGCATAATCTCGCGGTTTCCGAGTTTGAGCCCCATTTCGGGCTCTGTGCTGACAGCTTGGAGCCTGGAGCCTGTTTCGGATTCTGTCTCTGTCTCTCTCTCTCTCTCCAACTTGTGCTCTGTCTCTCTCTCTCTCTCTCTCAAAAATAAATAAACATTTAAAAAAACACATAGGCTTAAGATAAAATTTAAGTGTTTATTCTCTAGATGAAAGTGAAGCCATTGTAAAATCAAATGTTACTTTTTAATTCATAGTTTCTAGTAAATATTATCATTTTGAACAAATAGAATACAGTCTGTACTAGCCAAAAATAAAGCCAAGCAATGAAACAGAAACACCGACGTAAGGTGCTTTTACAACATTTTTAAGGTTTCCTATGTATTTGCAAATTGTGTAGTCTTTGGATGGAACAGGCTAAAACAAGTTTAGAAGCCTTGTCATTAATCTCTTTCCCAAGTGGTTAAAAGTAAGAGTCCTGAAGTCGTATTGCCTTTCCAGGTTTTATTTTTTTTCTCTATAATATGAGAGTAGAAATAATACCTAATTTACAGATTTGTTGTGGAGATACATAGTGAGCATTTACTTTATATACATAATACAAATATTGTTGATTAAAAAATTTTTTTTAAGTTTATTTATTTATTTTGATAGAGACAGAGCACAGGTGAGGGAGGGACAGAGAGAGAGGGAGGGAGAGAATCCTAAGCAGGCTCTCACTGTCATCGCAGAGCCCAGCACAGGGATCGAACTTAGGAAACCGTGAGATCATGACCTGAGCCAAAACCAAGAGTCTGATGGTTAACTGACTGAGCGACCCAGGTGCCCCATAATACAAATATTGTTTAAATATGGTTTAAACTTTTGTTTTAATTTTTCCCAACTTTGAATGAAGAAGATTCTCAAAATTCTGCTAAAAAGTAAAAAAGAATAAGATGGTGATTATCCACAATATACTGTTACCTCAATTTACCAGTTAATATTTTGTCCCATTGGAGATATGTGTGTGAACGTTGGTGTGAGAGACAGAGAGAGAGAGAGAGAGTATGTGTGTGTGTGTGTATGTGTGTGTTTGAACCATTTAAAGGTAAGTTGTAAACCTGGCAAAATACCCTCTCCATAAGGGATATTTATGTTCCCACTTCACAGTTGTGTAACAGATTATATCCTTTGTTTTGCTTCCACAGTAGTTGTAGAAGGACTTAAAATTAAATTAAAATTATGATTCCAGGGGTACCTGAGTTGCTCAGTTGGTTAAATATCTGGCTCTTGGTTTCGACTCACATCATGATTTCTAGATTGGTGAGTATGAGCCCAAAGTAGGGCTCCTGCTGAAGGTGCAGAGCCTACTTGGGATAATCTCTCCCTCCTTCTCTCTGCCCCTCCTCCACGTGCTCTCTCTCTCTCTCTCAAAAATAAATAAGCATTAAAAACCATTAAAATTCTGATTCCAGAAATAATGTGTTTTAACTTTCTTGAAAAGCCACAAATAAGTATAAAATTCATGTTCATAGTAGTATCATAGTTTAAATTTCTTTTGGATTTATATCTTGTTGGTTTTAACTCCAGCAGTTTGTTAAAGCACTTTAACAGAGCTTGAGGAAGATTTTTTTTTCATCATAGTCCATCAAAAACTGGTAGGAATCAACCACTTTATTTATTTATAAGTTTTATTTATTTTTATTTTTTTTCATTGTCTAAGCTTATATTTAAATTTAGTTAATATACAGTTACAGTATTGGTTTCCCAAGTAGAATTCAGTGATTCATCGTTTATATATAATACCCAGTGTTCATCAAGCATGTGCCCTCCTTAGTACCCATCACCATTTAGCCCTTCAATCACACACTGACACACAGTCTGTATCACATTAATATGGTAATTTTAGAGTGTTACAGATATGATTCTTGAAGGATTATGCATAGGTATCTTGGATGGTGAAGCTGCCAGGATTGCTAAAACCCATCTAGAATTGTGTGAGTATGAAGCAAAGATGATTTGGGATTTATTATGAGGAGAGTTTGGAATCAATATTTACATGGAGGGAACTGCTTGAACTTCTACTTTTCCAAAAAGGCAAAGCTCTTATCAAAGGAAGTGGAATTTACTGTCAGCCATGGTGGACCCTCAAAGAGCAGATCATGGTAGGTTAATCCAGTTTTTTCCTGAGTTGGGGTTACTAGAGCAAGAGAATGCTATAGATACATTTTTTAAATTAAATTTTTAATTTATTTTTGAGAGAGTGTAAGCCAGAGAGGGGCAGAGAGGGGGGGACATAATCTGAAGTAGGCTCTATGCTGATGGCAATGAGCCCAGTGTGGGGTTTGAACTCACGAACTGTGAGATCAAGACCTGAGCTGAAGTTGGATGCTCAACCCGACTGAGCTACCCAGGTGCTCCTAGATACATATTTTTTATAATTTAATTTTTTTACTTTAATTTTAATTTATTTTTAATCTCTACACCCAGGGTGGGGCTTGAACTTACAGCTCTGAGATCAAGAGTCACATGCTCTACTGACAGCCAGCCAAGACCCTTTTACAATTTAATTTTTTTAATGTTTGTTTATTTTTGAGATAGAGTAGGAGAGGGGTGGGGGTAGAGGATCAGTGTGAGTCTTGAACACACCAACTGTGAGATCATGACCTGAGCTGAAGTCAGACGCTTAATGGACTGAGCCACCCAGGCGACTATAATTTAATTTTAATGAAAATAACCATATGGCATATGTAGTAAAGTCCTGATCTCTATAGGCAAACATTTCCACTCTTTTAACCATGTCCTCTAGATTCCTCCTTTTTTCTAAGTGTTACTAAATACTGTTTTTCATTTTTCTTGTATGCACCATCTCAGTCACTCCCCATGATTTCCCTATATACTTACATCATATATTTTGTTTAAATCATTTTTCTACACAGTCATTTCGTGGTCCGTTGGCTAAGATCAAGTATAGTATCTGTTCTTATTAGTTTAATATCTGATATATCCTCTTTCCGAGGACAATAAGTTAACATGGTTTTTTTGAGCAGGGAGATGGAATTGCTCCGTCATTCTGTGCATCAGCGTGGTATTACAGTACCTCCAAGAGTGCTGCACCCCCTCAGGGATTAAAATACACACACACAAACCATTTTTTTTTACATTTATAGTGTTATGGTTGTGAAAATATTGTTCACAACTGAGCTATGAGAGCACTTTTACGTACATCCCCATGTCCCTTCTGTCAAAATTAAAAATTACTGACACTTGGGGTGCCTGGGCGGCTCAGTCTTTTCTAATTAAAAGACATAATATCCTTCTGGGAATGGATCATGAGAGAAGAGGTCCAAATTATTATTAAACAAAAGTATCTGTATTTAATCTGAAAACAAAGTTAAGAAAACAATTCTATTTATAATACTATCAAAATAGAATAAATTTAACAAAATGAGTATAAAATTTATACTCTGAAAACTATAAAATGTCAAGAAATTAAAGACCTAAATACATGAAAAACATTCATATTTAGGGATCAAACTTAATATCGTTAAGTACTCCCCAAATTAATCTACACATTTAACATAATCCCTGTCAGAATTCTAGCTGGGCTTCCTTGTAGGAATTGACAGGCTGATCCTAAATTTCATATGTAGTTGCAAGGTGCCCAGAAGAGCCAAAATAGTATTGAAAAACAAGAATAAAGTTGAATGATTCATACTTGATTTGAAAACTTAATACAAAGCAACAGTGATCTAATGCCACTAGTACTGGCATTAGAATAGACATAATGGATTGAGAATCAGATATGAATCTGTGGTCCATTGCTTTTTGACCAATGTGTCAAGACCATTCAATGGGAAACTATATTTTTTCAACAAACTCTCTTAGGACAACTAGATTCTCACATACAAAGGATTTGATTTGAACCTGGACCTTACCATATTTAAAAATTAATCCAGAGTGGAATCAAAGAATTAAATGTAAGACACCAAACTATAAATCTCTTAAAAGATCAGGCTAAGTGTTCACATCCTCAGATTTGGCAATAGATTCCTAGTTAGGAACAAAAGCACAAACAACAAAAGAACAAATATTAATAACATTAGACTGTTTTAACTGATGATCGAATTCAAATCATTGACATTCCATGATTTGAATTCCATGACATTCTAGAATCATTTGCTTTACTTTGAACTCTGTTCATAGTTGTCTTTTTTTCACTTTCAATCTTTTACTGTTGAAAGGATCAAGTGAACTTTTCTTCTTGAGTAGCTATAATGTCTGATTGGTATTATAACCCTCTCCTTATCCATGGGTCTCCTTTGGCCTTCCAATTTTCCACATTTATATTGCAGAGGTCTTCACATAGTAAATAATCAAACTATTTTGCTTATTAGCAAATAATCCACCTGTTCTGAAAAAATACTTTATTAGAGATTCATAATGAAATTTTTTTAATTAAAAAAAATTTTTTTAAATATTTTTATTTCTAGGAGAGAGAGAGAGAGAGACAGCGTGAGCAGGAGAGGGTCAGAGAGAGAGGGAGATACAGACTCTGAAATACGCTCCAGGATCTGAGCTGGCAGTCAGCACAGAGCCCGACACGGGGCTCGAACCCACGAACCGCGAGATCATGACCTAAGCAAAAGTCGGACGCTTAACCGACTAAGCCACCCAGGCGCCCCTAAAAAAATTTTTTTTGATGTTTATTTTTTAGAGAGAAAGAGTGTAAGTGAGGGAGGGACAGAGAGAGGTATGAAGCAGGCTGTAGACTCTGAACTGTCAGTACAGATTCCGACCCAGAACTCCAACTCACGAACTGTGAGATCATGATGTGAGTCGAAGTCGGACGCTTAACTGACTGAACCGCCTAGGTGCCTCTTTAATGAAATATTTTTTAATAAAATATAATACATGGGATTTGCTTCTAAATAAGTTAGTTATTGAAATTGGGTGAGATTTTATGGAACTTTCTTATATTTTAATTCCTACTGGTGTTGTAATAATAGTTTTTGTACAATAAATAATAGTTTTAAAATAAATAAAAGTATTGCTACCCTGAAAAAAAGAAAAAGAAATTGGGTGAGTGAGGTTACATGGGGTAATCATTATATAACTTTAAAACTTTATATAATAAGTTTTAAAAATAATGAAAGTACTTCAGTATTTTTCTGCTGCAGAATATCATGCTTTCTGAAGTGATTCCTTGCAGTTTTTTTCTCACTGCTGTGTTATAGAAAGTTTTATGGATTTGCTTATTAAAGCAGAAGCCTCTGTAAGTACTTCATAGGCTCACCTTCTTGAAATGGGATATATGGGTCTTTCTTTCTCTGATCCCATTTATAAATACTGCCCCACCCTTTTACTTCACCCTACTAAGCCTCATTCCAGACTTTGAGCCATTAGAGAACCCTTCATTTTTCTTACTATCAAATTGATTATAATATTGTGTTTAATAGCTTAGGAAAGTCAATAAAGTTAGGCCAATCACTGACTCAAAATGAGATCATTGAAAGTGCTTTTCAGAAAGGTTGTTGTTTTTTTTTAACGTTTATTCACCTTTGAGAGACAGAGGGAGCACAAGCAGAGGAGGTGTAGAGAGAGGGAGACAGAATCTGAAGAAGGCTCCAGGCTCCAAATGGTCAGCACATGGTCACAAACCGTGAGATAATGACCTGGGCTGAGATCAAGAGTCAGATGCTTAGCCACCCAGAGACTCCCATCTTCTGCCCATTTCTTAACTGGGTTTTTTGTTTTTTGGGTGCTGAGTGTGATAAGCTCTTTATAGATTTTGGAGATTAAACTTTTATCAGATAAATCATTTGCAGATATCTTCTCCCATTCCATAGGTTGCGTTTTAGTTTTTTTGATTGTTTCCTTCACTGTGTAGAAGAATTTTATTTTGATGAAATTCCAGTAGCTTTTGTTTCCCTTGCTCCCGAGATACAGCTAGAAAGAATTTGCTATGACTCATGTCAGAGAGGTTACTGCCTGTGTTCTCCTCTAGGATTTTTATGGTTACAAGTCTCACATTTAGGTCTTTTATCCATTTTGAATTTATTTTTGTGTATGGTGAAAGAAAGTGGTCCAATTTCATTCTTCTGCATGTAGCTGTCCAGTTTTCCTAACACCATTTGTTGAAGAGACTATTTTTTCCCCCATTGGATATTCTATCCAGTTTTGTTGAAGATTAATTGACCATATAGATGTGGGTCTCCTTTTTGGGTTTTCTATTCTGTTTCTTTGATCTATGTGTCTATTTTTGTGCTAGTACCATACTGTTTTGATAACTACAGCTTTGTAATGTAACTTGAAATCTAGAATTGAGATGCCTCTGGTTTTGCTTTTCTTTTTCAAAGTTGTTTTGGCTATTAGGGATCTTTTGTGATTCCATACAAATTTTGGGATTGTTTGTTCTAGTTCTTTGAAAAACACTGGTGGTGTTTTGATAAGAATTACATTAAATGTTTAGATTGCTTTGGGAAGTATAGACATTTTACAATATTTATTCTTCCCATTCATGAGCATGGAATGTCTTTCCATTTCTTTGTGTCATCTTCCATTTTTTTTCATCAGTATTTTACACTTTTCAGAGTACAGATATTTTACCTCTTTGGTAAAACTCTACCTATTGAGCCAGCCAGGTACCCCCCAGGTTTTTATTGATGGCATTTGTTTTTTGACCATGACACCCTAAAAAATAAATATGTTGTGATCCATTACATACACAATTTAATGTGTGTATATATATCTGAAGCAAACACTTAATGAAATAATACCTTGCTAGGTATGGTGTATTGTATTTTTAATTTTACACTATTTAAAAAATTTTTTAATATTTTATTTGTTTCTGAGATAGAGAAAGAGACAGTGTAAGCAGGGGAGGGTCAGAGAGAGAGGGAGACACAGAATCTGAAACAGGCTCTAGGCTCTGAGCTGTCAGCACAGAGCCCCATGCGGGGCTCGAACCCACGAACTGTGAAATCATGACCTGAGCCAAAGTCAGACGCTTAACTGACTGAGCCACCCAGGTGCCCCCCCCCTTTTTTTTAAAAGTACATGTTGGTCAGGGTCCTTTGTATTTATTTTAATTTTTATTATTTGTATTTTTGAGAGAGAGACAGAGCATGAATGGGGTAGGGCAGAGAGAGAGGGAGACACAGAATCAGGCTCCAGGCTCCTAGCTCCGAGCCATCAGCACAGAGCCCGACATGGGGCGTGAACCCACGAACTGTGAGACCGTGAACCTGAGCCGAAGTCAGACACTTAACCGGCTAAGTCACCCAGGCACCCCTTGGACCCCATTGTATGTATTTATTCAACATTTCACTAATGGATCATGTCCTGCAGTTTAGAAGACATTTTAACATTGTCTAAAATAGGCATGTGAATGAATGAATGAATGAATGAATGAATGAATGAATAGACCTGTTTTCGCATATTAATAATAAACATGCTCTATAACATTACCAGTGTTGTTAAGCAAGATTTAATTTTTAGGTAATATACTACTAATATTGATAAATAATCCCTTCAAAAAAAACACAAGGAGAAATTACTCTTGCTGTTAACTGCTAACCATTTGGAAACATTTCTGTACAGTGTATTAATTCTCTAGTAGAATTAAGTAAAAATGAAAAAGATTTGTGGCTTTTTTTTTAAAGCTGTAGTTCTATCTGTTATCTTCTTACCCCTAATCATACTGCCTACTTAAAAAGATGTTCTCTGGGTAGTAGAGGTGCTAGGCCAGCCTGTCCTCTTTGACCTAAATAGACATGGTGACCAGTGAGAGTTACATAAAAGCGGTCTCTTGTTTTAACACAAAACACTTCAAGTTCATTTGGCTGGATTTTTTTTTTTTTTTTACAAGTTCTAGGTAGTAATTTATAAATGTACTACTTTCACTTTAGGGCAAGAAAATGTGACAGCTGGAGATCTAACTAAACTGGGAACCCAAGGCTGTATGTTCCTTTATCAGTGTGACTCTGAGAACTGAGACCTGCTGGTTCTTTGAAATAATGCTGTGTCTGATGAAGCTTACGGTAAATGTTGTCTCTGTAGGTGACTTACTAAAATAGGAAGTCTTCATGCAGTGGGTTTTATGGGCAGCATCACATCCTTG